GGGGAAACTAACATCAGGAGAGCTCCACTTTATAAGAAATGAGGAAGGAAGGCCCTTCCTTTAATCAATCAAAGGATAAAAAGGGATATGCAAGCAAAAAATATAACATGAAAAAAAAGGGAGATCTACTAAACGATTCCCAGGAGATCAATTGTCTGAAGTACTAGCTAGCATCTAAGTTCCAGTTCCCCTATTGTCCGACTGATGGGAAGGTAGTGTAAACGAGGTTAGGTAGAGAGAAGAGGCACAGGGTCCCCAGAGAACAAGGGACCAGGTAATCTGGTCTAAATGCAGATGAAAAGTGTCACACAAAAAATAAATAAATAAATCTCTCAATTCACCCTAAGAGTTACCTCGACACCGTGGTCTGACCAATAGTGTCTACCCGAACCAACTCTCCCTACTAAAGTTATAAATAAATAAATAAACACCTAAAACTCAATAACCATAGTGGTAACAAAAATAGAAAAGTGCTACCAAGTGCAGAGATTAAAGAAAAAGAAAACGCTCAATGCGCGTTTCGGCGTGTTCAAAACACCGTCGTCAAGAGCTTGTAAACATGAGCAGCTTGTTGTTCCATTTAAATACCTATTGCTGATGAAACATGGCCATCAGCTGTTCAATGTGAGAGGTCCTGAGAGGCGAAGTGGCATTTATTGCTCTGGCATAAGCCCTTTTTAGAACCCGATTAGGGTAACCTTTTTCCCTAAAGGATTTCCGGAGATCCCAGGCTTTGATTTTAAAGTCATCCAGGGAAGAGCAATTTCTACATAAGCCCAGATATTGGCCGACAGGGATTCCAGCCTGCAGTTTTGGTGGGTGGTGGCTAGTCCAATTCAGAAGGCCATTAGAGGCTGCTTGTTTTCTGTACAGGGTGGTTGACATGCATCCACTTGTTTGTATAGAAGAAGTAAGGTCTAGGAAGTTAAGATTCCTGCCCCCCATTTCACTTGTGAATTTCAAGTTGAATTCATTAGTGTTTAAGAGAGTTACAAACGTCAGAAGATTCCAGCCAAATAACAAAGACATCATCGATGTACCTTTTCCAAAAATACATTTTATCACAATAGATCGATAAAGTCTGGTCCATTTCAATGTATGTCTCCCAGGTGCCCAAGTATATGTTGGCATAGGAGGGTGCGCATGAAGTCCCCATAGTATTCCCCATACCCCATACCGGATGGGACTTAGTGCAGTTCTCACAATGTTGTGAGCACTGCCAAGATGCTATTCCCACTTCCAGTCAGTTCCACTCCATAATACAGTGGATGTTCCAGTCACACTATGAGGTGCGTTTTGGGAATACTTTAAGCCCACCTCACATATTCAGCCATCACGTCCACCTATGACAGGGACAAATCAGCGATATAGGGAGGTGGGGTTGTGCCCCGACGCTCTCCCTCTTGGCTGTACAACTCACGTAACAGCCTGTTATGAAACAAATGCCAATACCAGATGGTGTGTTCCACCCTCCACTCTATAGGTCAGGACAGGGGCGGTCCCGGTTAAAAGAATAATAATAATGATGATAACAGGTATTTGTGTGGCACCTTTCTCCCAGTGGGACTCAGGGCGTTCTTCAGCATGCGCTCTCGGAGCTGGCCAGGTCGGCAGGTGACTTGTAGTATATTTATTTTTGACCCATTGATGGAGCTCGTTTTGTCAACCTCGGTCGGATGGGGTGTTGGGTTGGCTTTCCAGGATTTGAATCTGTGGCCTTGCCTTTTTTAGCAGGCTTTGTGGTTGGGTATTCTGCCAGCTGAGCTACCTCGGTGGGGTGTGTCTTCACTATGTTTTTGAGATGTAGAATATGTGACGACATGCCATGCCCTGGTAGACTGCAGAATAGAGTTCAGACACTCCGCCTCTCAGGACCTCCCACATTGAACAGCTGATGGCCATGTTTAATCAGCAATAGGTATTTAAATGGAACAACAAGCTGCTCATGTTCACAGGCTCCTGACAACGGCGTTTGAACATGCCGAAACGCGCGTCAAGCGTTTTCTTTTTTTTAAAATCTCTGCACTTGGTAGCACTTTTCTATTTTTGTTACCACTATTGTTATTGATTTTTAGGTGTTTATTTATTTATTTATAACTTTAGTAGGGAGAGTTGGTTCAGGTAGAAACTATTGGTCAGACCACGGTGTCGAGGTAACTCTAAGGGTGAATTGAGAGGTTTTTTGTGTGAGGCTTTTCATCTGCATTTAGACCAGATTACCTGGTCCTATGTTCTCTGGGGATCCTGTGCCTTTTCTCTCTTCCTAACCTCATTTACACTACCTTACCATCAGTCGGACACTAGGGGAACCGGAACTTAGATGCTAGCTAATACTCCAGACAATTGATCCCCTAGGCAGCGTTTAGTAGATCTCCCTTTTTTTCAAGTTATATTTTTTGTTTGCATATTCCTTTTTATCCCTATATTGATTAAAGGTAGGGCGCCCCTTCCTCATTTCTTATACAGTGGAGCTCTCCTGATGTTAATTTCCTCTTGTGGGACTCTATACATCACCTACTCCTATTTCCTACATATTTTGGAGGGTTACCCCCTCATTGGAGCTCTCTATTGTCAGGATTACAGAATGAACCAACACGAAGAATTGTGTAACACAGAGGACTGATAGGTAACGCATACCGGACCTTAGAATGGCCGGACTAACGTACCAAAGAATAGTCAGGAATAGCCGAAGTCAAGGGAAACAGAAAGAGACACAACGATAAGGAAAAGCCAGGAGTCAGGGATGCCAGAAAACAAAGGCAGTTACCAGGTTCCCATTTGCATAATTGCTGCTCAGCATTAACCCTTCTATGGATTTGGTTGCTGCTCGGCACAACTTTTCCTGTGTGGACAGTAAATGTCATCAACCACATTTTTATAAGCGGGTGAATACGTGACACCTGTTAGGTGGTTACAGTGGTGCAGCTATTGAGCCCTTGACTTGTATCCGGACTCCTGACCTGCACTCTGTTTACTTTATTTCTCCATTTTGTGTTTACATAAAAGTTATGCTCACATAATATGTCAGCTAAAATAATTTTTGTGTTGGGATTGTAGTGTACGGCTATGGTCTATCCATTGTTATTTATGATTAGGGCATTGTGATTGTATTTTATTTGCCCCTATGGGTAATGCACTCACATGTAAGTGGCTATCATTAGTTATCACAAATTTGCTAACTGGCAAATCTAGACAAAAGGAACCCACAATTATTATTTATGAATAACTCAAAGGCATTACAATATGTTATTTCTGGTCTAAGTTTAATTTAAAATACTTACTTATATATAGGGGCAAGATTATATATTTTTGCAGTGTGGCAGGGTGCATTATCCACACCCCTGCCATCAGGGAACACCACAGTCATGAATGTGATGTATGTGAGCTGCCACAATCTCTAGGTAGGTGGTGTTGTGGAAATAAGGTCTACACATATTTCCTAGTTAAAGGAAAATGTCTATTTACTCATCTCACACTATGCTATAGAGTTAAGCACACATGTTTAATCAAAATGGCTGCTAGAAGCTTCTAACCCCTTCCTCCCCCTGCCCCTTTAAACACCGACTAACTACCTTGTGCAGCAAGATGGCGCCGGGAAACCGTGGGAGACCCTCATGGACCTGGTGACATGAAATATTGACATATTTTTAGCTAGTAAAATGTCTATTTACTTCATTTAGTTATACTTAATATTATTCAATAAATTACTAAACTGACCACTAGATGTCACTCAGGAGTACCCCACCCATCGACCAAACACTCTAATTTTCAAGATGGCGCTGGAATCCTGGGGGAGAACTCCATGACGACAGTAATGACATAAGAAGGCACACCCTGTAGGACGTGCTTTGAATAAAACACTTAACACTTAACCAATTATGGATGTATTATTTCATGTTATCTCTGACAATGCTTATGATGTAATTTTGCTTTAAAAGGGACCTGCCGTCCCCTCTGAATAAACTTTCCTCAAGTTATTCAACAACCTAGAACCTGTGTCTGGTGTGAATTACTTCAGGGAGCGTGCACGCATAGTTTCATTGATTTGGCCAGGGGCAGATACACAAGAAATAATCAATACCTTAATTGATTTTTCCACTTCAATTGGCGCCCAACGTGGGGCCCACCGGAGAGCCGGTTCGGAGAGCCGGAACCAACGGACCGGAGCGGACCTCCGGAAAGTGGGACAAGCGGAGCCTGATCACCTCCATAATACAGCCGTTGCCTGTGTTATTCTCCTGTTTTGTGTCGGTCTGTCTCCGAGTCCACTTCCGGCTTCCAGAAGGCTACTAGAGACAGGTATTTAGCTCATCCGGGGTGCCTTTTTAAAGTGAACCTGTCGATTGTCTATCTGCCTCCTGTATTTGTTTGAATGTGTGTGACGGCCAGAGTGTGTGTTTTCCCCCTTTTTAAAAGACAATTGCTTGACTGCCTAGCGGGCAGGGAACGCATTTTATATGTTTGCTTGACTGCCTAGCGGGCAGGGAACGCATTACAGCCGGTGGGGCTGGGTTTTATATGTTAGCTTGACTGCCTAGCGGGCAGGGAACGCATTACAGCCGGTGGGGCTGGGTTTTATATGTTAGCTTGACTGCCTAGCGGGCAGGGAACGCATTACAGCCAGTGGGGCTGGGTTTTATATGTTAGCTTGACTGCCTAGCGGGCAGGGAACGCATTACAGACGGTGGGGCTGGGTTTTATATGTTAGCTTGACTGCCTAGCGGGCAGGGAACGCATTACAGCCGGTGGGGCTGGGATTTTGTTTGATTACTGCAGAGTTTCATTGGTACTTGTGTTATAACGGGGCCAGCCTGGTGGAGGAGGGCTGGGGATTGCTACATTTTAAATATTTGGTACTAGTGGTGTTAACATGTACATGGCCATTTTACTCTCTGTCATTCTGTGGTTTTTTGTTTAATTGTTGTTGCAGTGTGGGTACCCTTGGTGTGTGTGTGTGTGTATGTATATAGTGTGGCTAGTTCTGGATTCTGGGGTTTACACTCATCTCTATGTTTGTGATTTTTGCAAATGTCTTCTTGTTAGTGTAACCACTTTCATCTTTTCATTTGTCCTTTATCTCTCCTGTGTTTGTTGCCCAGAGCTGTGTTAGTCACCCACGCTCGCCCCCTCCGGTCTGTGGCCACCTCCCCCGGGTGCACAGACCATCGTGACTAGTCAGTCGAGCACTGTAGACTTTCCTACTTCTTCTTCCCTCTCACTTGGTCTCCTTTACTTGGCAGACCTCGCTTGGTCAAAAAGGGGCTAGTACATGCTAGACCAGCTAAGGGGTATTTGGCTTGTGATATTGTTAAAGAGAGGGCAGGGGAAGAAGCTATGCTGAAAATGAAATAGTTTGCAAAGATTTCTGGTTTCCAAACGTATAAATCTCTGTCCTTCTGTCTTGTTACTTTACGGAGCTCACATGGTTAATCTTCATGCCTGCAGTCTCTCTCTCTCTCCTTTTTGCACTGTCACACTCAGTGGTGTATCCTGGTTTTGTGCTGCCCTAGGCAGGACAAAACTCAGGCGCCCCCCTCCCCCCCGCGCCACCCCCACCCAACCTTTCCCCCCGCCCCACCTTCTAAATACACACACACACAGTCAGACACATACACAAACACACACACACAGTCAGACACATACACAAAACACACACACACACACAGTCAGACACATACACAGACACAGTCAGACACAAACACACACAGTCAGACACACACAGTCAGACACAAACACACACACACACACACACAGTCACATACACACACACAGTCAGACACAAACACACACACACACACAGTCAGACACACACAGTCACATACACACACA